TATTTTATAAGATAGACGTTTCTTTATCGAATGAGTCCAAGAGCGTAGAATAGTTAATTGAAGTAGATATTTTGCTTCAATGAAGTTCTTTATCACTGAAATTATGGTTATAGTGAATTTTTTATTATATCACAAATTATAATAGTGTAAAGCGGTTAATAATATCTGTTATAATAAATAATAAAAAAAAATGAATTAAAATCTAATTTAAAAATAATGTATTTCTGTGAATGTAAAATTATAAATTTCATAAAAAAAAATCAACATTCATAATTTCAGAGAACATTTTTTTTTTAATTCCGAATAAATGCGCGTGCCTTTTGTTTCGATTTATACAAGTGACCCAATTAAATTGTTGGAAATATTATTACAGCAATTGTTCAAAAACGTGGTTGAGGTTAAATTACATGTCCTTTCCTCGCACCGAGAGTTTAAAAAATACACATGAACCATAATTTCAGCCTTATAACGTGCCTTTGACGTCTCATCTGATTTGCATATAGAACCGCAAATTAGCACGCAAAAAGATTAAAGACTCTTTGTGTATAAATCATTAGTTTTTAATTTTTGAAAAAGAACTTTTTATTTCACTTTTACTTCTCACCATTAAATTCAGCTTTTTAATTATTTTTTCAACTCTTTTATAGTTTTTATATTATTTTGAAAATTGTAATTTCAATTATTATTATTATTTATATTTATTATTTAAGTAGTAATATATGATTTTTTTTCTTCAAAATATTATTCTTTGTGCCGAAATACAATAATTGAAAAAAAATTTTTTTTAGAAACAGTTCAGAGGAACAAAGAGACTCGTAAATTTGCAACTCACTCTTCATCTACCTAAAAGCCTGAAGCGAAACAAAGGAAAATTAACTGCAACCTACAAAATGTTTACAACTTTGTTGGCAGACATTTGCCTAAAGAAATGGAGAAACAAGATAAGACTGGCAAAGAGAAACATGGAAAATATAAAGGTATCGCAGTGTTAAAAGCAACAAGTCAATCAATAACTGACCTCCCAAGCCTATAACATCCCTCATTAGGTCATCGTTTCAGTTCCCACACAAGTTTTCATATATAGAAGAGAAAATATTTTTAAAACTGTTTTTTTCCCCCTCTAAAGAATAAGAAACAACAAACTAAAGATTTTTTTATCTTGAAAAAAAGAATTTTTTTTTTTTTCATTTAAATGAAAAATATAAAAATCTTTTGCAATTCTCATCGAGTCTATGGAATTGAGAATAGAGAGCTTGAAAAAGAACAAAAAAATAAAAGAAGGGGGAAAAATGACCAAATATTGATTTTGCAGAAAGCACACTATTTCAGTGTTTTTGTACACTACTATAACTATCACTTTCACAGTACTCATGTTTCTTTATTACCTTTTGAAAAATACTCGACTGTTTGCTGACGAAATTTTATTTTATTTTATTATATACCTTATCAATACGAATTTTCAGAAAAACTATTTTTCTCCGAAAAGTAAATTTGAAAAAAAGCAAAATTTTTTTTTGTATCTGTTACATCTAAATAAAATTTTTCCGGGATAATTTGTTCTCGTAATATATTTAATTTTAGATTATTACACCCAGAGAAATGTTTATTTGAATTAAATAAACGTATATTTGTCTCAGAGCCTAGTATTTATTTGGCGTAAATAAAAATTTTGTCATAAATAAATTTTTCTTTAGCTCAAATAAATTTTTTTTTTTAAATAAAATAAAATATATTTGCAACAAATAAATGAGCTAGTAGGATCGGAGAAAAATATACCATTTCTCTGAGTGTAGAATGAAAAATTTTAAAATCGATTTTATTACGATATTTTGAAGATTTAATTAAGCGAAAGAATTCAAAATTGCATAATCAAAGCATAAAAATTTGAAATCTATATAAATCGAGTCGAACTAGCATATCGATGGATTATTAACTGTTTGTGGAAAATGGCACATTTCTTTATGAACAAAACCACCTGATATAGAAGCAGCCATTAGATAATTAGGCCATTCGACCAAAAACACCAATTTACTCTGATTACTCGACATTACAATTTTAGTCGTATACATTCATGAAAGATCAGACAATCCCTACATAGAAATGCAAACATTAAAGCATTCATATCGAGTCAAATCCTTTATTCGCCAATACTAAATTGACGAATTTATACGAATAATTAACAAAGCAAAAATATTTTCCGCACATGTATAATTCTCTGATTTATCAAAATTCACATTTTATTTCAATAAAGGATAATTGAAAATGATTATACCAATTAAAACAAATTAGATATTTACTAACATAAAAATTTTGTTTTCAACATTCATCTGATCGAACCGAAATTTAAACGAATTTTTTTGATTAATTAACCAAAAAGCCATTATTTGATTCAAATAATCGGTTATTTAATTATTATCAAATAAATATTTAATTCAAATAGAAATTATTTGGTAAGCGATTATTTTGAATAAAATAAATTTTAAATATTCTGGCTTAAATAATTTTCCAATACGAGAGACACTAATCTATTATATTAAAACATTTGTTTTGCTCCTTTATCAAAATTACATAGTGCCCAAGTTTGAAATTGATAGAATATTTACATAAGTGATGATGTTGATTTCCAAAATATACAGAAGATGTTGACTAAATCTTATGCTTAATGTATAGTCAAGTTTATAGCAATCAGTGAGGAGATTATTTTGGGAAAATGGAAATGTTAAAATATATCACATGTAGCTCATTAAAACGTTGTAATAAGTACATATACGTTAAAATTAATATATAGCGATAATAACTGTTCCTTTATGTTCACAACACTCATCGTTAAGTCAAGCCACTTTATCACAGTAATTTGCAACTTTTTAAATGAGCCGTCATCTAATATTCTGATGAGTAAAGTTTCATAAACTTGATGCAAACTTTCTGAATGATAACCATATATGCTCCAGATACACACATTAGTTTCTCTACATCAATTGCTAACTAAATGTCAATTTTAAAAATACATATTTTTCAAAAATTGTTTCAAATATTTTTTTTTCAATTATTAAAATAAAAATTTCATTTTATAAAATTCGAATGAAAATTTTGAAATAAAGTCAAAGACTTACCAAGAGGAGGCTCTTTTTAGAAAATCCAGTGAGACTTACCTGAAACAAAAAATAGTAAATAATTAATACAATTTTTTTTTATATTAATAATAATAATAAAATTAAAACTAAAACATAATAAATTATTATCAATTATAATAATAGTTACATAAATTAAAGGTGTATTTAAATATTAAATATCTTCCTCTTTTTAAATGAATTTTTTTTTAATTAAAAAAAAAAATTCTAGATTGTAAATATATCATTTTTCTGCTTAACCGACAAGTTTCCGTTACCTACATTAGTGAAATAAAAGCTCCTTCTGCTGGAGAGCTTACAGGACTCCCTATTATCAAGAGGTCGATAACTGTGAAATCTGTGTTTTCCTGCAAGCTCTAAATTATTTTTTATATTAACAAGTAGAGTGCACCACAGTCAACATTTAAAATCAAATTCATAATGTAAACAAACTGTAGCTTTTAATCTATAGATCGTAAAAAGAAAAATTAAAAAAAAGAATTCTTTAATCATATTTCTATAAATTACTTTTCTATTATAAATAAATTCAATAATTCCATAAAGAATATTTCTTTTTGAACATTAATATTAAGTAATAATATTGAATAAATATTCAATATTAATCAAATTAAATTATTAATTATTATTAATAATTAATTAAATTATTGCAAAATACTTTGCAAATTCTAATTTAATTTTACTGCATTTTTTTTGTTTTTTCGTTAAATATTAAATATATTTTAATTTTTCGCTTTAAGGGACGATTATAAAACGAATTTTCTTATCGGCATAATATAGTCAAGACTCAAGAGGCAAAAGTTGCAAGCTAAAAGTTATCGGGAAAGTTTTAGACAATATGTGTGAATATGCATGTTAGGTATAAATATATATCATCATGAATATATGTTGAAAGAGTAAAAGCAGGTTAAATATTGTCAACTTCAACGTTACTTTAATCCCAACTGATATATAAATAAATTGAATAATGAATAATTAATTAAAGTAGATCTAAAGGCACATTATTTATTAACATTATATCATGAAAATTAAGTTTTTTCACATATATAATATATGCAAAATAACTAAAGTGTAATGTTGTAGATTAAATTAGAATTAAATACCTTAATTAGATAACCTCAGATTACATGGTATTGTTTCATTCCAAATTAATTATTTCAATCTAATTATAATTTCTAAAAGAATTATTTTAATAATTTAAAATAGCATTTTAAAAACAGGAAAGAATGCTAATGAGAAAATAAAAAACAAGAAAATAAAAAAAAATATGTTGCACATAAATTTTTAAAAAAGGCTTTTAATAAATTTATAATTTTAAAAATATATGCCACATAATTTGGATTATGTAATATAGTTAAAATTGAAAAAAAATATTTTTATTATTTTAATATTATTGTAGGTAATTTAAAAATTAAATTTGTAATAATTTTCTGCACATATATATACGATATAAAAGACATTCTATTCATATAACAAGAAATTACACTATTTTATTGCTCTACTTTAGACGATTTAATTTTAACATATCTTTTGATCAAAGCAATTAATTCTTGGAGCTTTTAACTTTAAAAACGAATTTTTTTTCTACTTCAAGTGCAAAAAAGTAAAAATGTGAAGGTTTTTATTTTTCGGTAAAGAACAGTCTAATTAGATCTGAGTTTACAAAAGAGGCGGACATGAATATTTTTATTGGTTTTAAAAAAAATTTTAATTGAATATATGTAAAATTTAATATTAATGCTGACGAAAAGAATTTTTGAACAATAATTTTCCATACTCTCTATATAAAATAGTTGCTAAGTAAAGATAATAATTATCTTCACTTAGCAACTACAATAATAAAATAATTATTTCTCTTAAGTCAATAAAATAATACATTCTATTGTTTCCTGCCGTTTAACCTCTTTTGCAATTAACAAGAAAATTTTAGATGACAGAAATCGTTACATTGAAAAGTGGTTGAGATAAAATCAATTAAATAAATAAATTAATTAATTATCTCTATAGGTAAGTTAATTAATTTATACTAAATTATTAATATATTAAATTTTTAAATAAAATATTAAATAAGTAAAAAAGAAAGTAATAAATCATATATCCCCTTTTTCACGAGATCAAAAATTAGTCTCGACTTTAAAAGGTCATAGGTCTGCTAAAAAAAGAAATAAACCTATTTTTGAAATTCAATAAAAAAAACTTTTATATTATATTACACGTCCAATAGAATCTATCAAACTTATACTAGACAAAATTTCGTATTTATTTTTTAATTATAAATAGTTACAATTAGTGACTAGATAAATAAACTAATAGAAGAATGTATTAAAAAAATTATTATAAAAATAGAAATTATTTATTTTTCCCAACACGTGATCAGTTCTTTTTTATTTCTTACGTCTAGGTAGCACACCTGACGGCAGGTTGATGACTGCCGTAGAACAGGTCGATGGCGAACCACCAACTGCATTGCAGGCTTAGAGTATGTGTTCAATTTAATCCTCTATTAATTTCTCTTTATATCACTTTTATTTTACGAAAGAATTAAAAGTTTAATCAGAAGTTTGACCTAATTTTCAAAAAAAAAAAAATATATATATATATATAAAATATGGGGAAATAGTGAAAAAAATAGAGCACAATTATTTAATTACTGGAAATGTCATTATTTTCAGATATTACCCGATTAATTCACAATGTCTTTGCCTAAATGTAACGCGTTAAACATTGAAATTCAGATTAACTTGCGAGGTCTAGATATATTTAGTTCGTTTCAAAAGCTTTGAGGGCTTGATAATGATTTTAATATCAAAGGTAAATAAATCTGCTAATTACATATAATTATTTGCAACTTGAATTACTCGCGTTATTACTCATGAAAATAACGTTACTCTAAAAATTAATGAATGTAATATTATAATAATTATAACAAAAATAGAGTATATTTCCATAAATTTATTTTTTAATTATTGTTTTCAATCTCACGAAACGAACTTTAATTTTTTCGGATACTATTTATTGTCTCAATTTTGTTCAATAAAAATAATAAAATAAATATTACATATATAAATATATTTTTAACATCGCGACAAAAAAATCCGGCAAAATGTCATTGACATGGAAAAAAATATTTTCCCAAACTAATTAAAAACAGGAGTATTTTTTGACTTAAAAATAATTGCTTATTTAAATAGAAATTCGCGGGGGAAAAAAAACTTGTCAGAAAATTAATGACCAAATGTATAACGAATTTATTGAGCGAAGCGCAGGTCAAGCTCCGAGAACTCACCGCGAAAGTGCAAGGGTTGAACCTCATTTCTGAACAGCGGAGAATAAAACTAGTATTACAATATGTAAACATGTAAAAAAGATAAAAAGTACCAAAGACCATTAGAATTAAAAAAAAATCAAGTCCTATAAAAATATAAACTGAATTTCTATATTTAACAAAAAAATAATGTTAATATAATTATATAATAAATTTTATAAATTACATTTTTATAAAATGTAATTTTTAAAAAAATAACTTAAATCAAACTATAGGCAAAGTTAACCTTGACTTTTGAGGCAAAATTTTAAGAAAACGTTTATAAACGTTTCTTGATAAGTGATTATCCTGTCATTTTATAAAGGATCATATCACAAACAATATGTTAGGGGGGATGTGTGGATTGATTATCCAGAACCGGTGGAATAACATTACTCTACCTCAAGCAAATTCCCTATTGCATAATAATTAATTCTACATAGCACTCAAATACAGATGTCTGGTTTACATAATAGAGTGTAGAAGCAAGAATGGATTATTATGACATCAAAGAAAATCGTTATCAATTTTTTAACAATACGTCACCGCAACATGAATATGTTAGAAAATGACTTTTTTTTCAAAAGAAAAATAATAAACTAAGGAAATTTTTTTTTCTCTTTTTTATACAGAAAAATATGAGACAAAAATTTCATAAAGATAAATGAAAAGTAGAGTAGAAATAATATATAACAGTAAAATCAACAGGAAAGTAAATTTCACAAAAATAAACAACAAAAAATAAAATTATTCCATTTTACAAAAAAAAAAAAAAAAAAAAAAACATTTTAGACAGATAAAAAAAGTGCATTTTACAAAGATAGATAAAAAAGCATTTTGTAAACGTAGATAAAACCCGTTTTACAAAGACATAAAAAAAAGCATTCTGCAAAGATTGCAAACATATTTATTTTATTAAAAATATTTAATTAAAGATTTAATTAAAATTCAGTTGCAAATAAATTTTCATATTGAAATTTTTGGTTCGAGTTATTTCATGAGAATTACAGAATATCGATCGATTTTATCAACAATTATCAAGAAATAATTATTAAAAATAATTTTTGTTCTGAAAAAATAAGTGACATGAAGTCGATTAATAAAAATTATTCATCAATCAGCAAATTTTTTTGATCTATATAATTTTTGCAAATTGAAAATTGTATTTTCATATAAAACACAAGGACTTAATTTTTTTATATTTTATGGATGAATGATATTCAATATTTTTTTGAAACACTAATTAGTGCAAACAAGTGAAAATGGGCGCTCTGTGGTCATTTATTGATAAATTGGTATATTTCAGACCTTGAAGTGCGGCACGCTTTTGCTACAATTGTAGCACAAGCTTTTTTATATATATATATATATATTTGTTTTCATGAAACAAATTGGAAGGGAGTTAAATTTAATACAGGGGATGTTTAATTGTATTTATTCATCGTGACACTCAATGTATCGCTTGTTCATTGAACCACTATACTTGATGCAATTGAAAATTGTAACACGAACATGACATATTATTCCCTCGAAAGTTGAAATCCCAAACAAAGTCTTTGAACAAAATAAAATGAAACATTTTAATGAAATATATCGACAACTCTTACGATGCTTTTGCGAATATTAATAATTTTTCTAAATTTATTGTCACTAAAAAAAAAAGAAAAAAAAATATTCTTAGGGTTTTATTTTATTTGTATTAAGTATTTAAAATTGAAACTACTATATTTGTATTTCAAATAGATATAAATTTTTTCATTAGAAAAATAATAAAAATTTTATTTCTCATATTCTTGATTTATAAGAAAATATTTTCTAAACATTGATAGAAAAAATGTATAAAAATATTTTATGTGAAATAACTGTTGTCATGTAACGTCAAATTCTCATGGAATCACAAGCGAGTTAAAAAACATAAGTAAAAAACCAAGTCTCAACCCTCTTTCACTTTTTTCTTTTCATATCATAAATCAAAAAAGTAAAATAAAAAACATTTGACCTACTTTATGTAAAAAAAAAAAAAAATTTACAATGAAAATAAATCAATTATACAGATATTCTTATGGATGAATTAATAATAATAATAATAATCGTCGTTAAATAAAAGTAAAAAAAAGTAAAATAAAAATATTAAAAAATTTCAAAACATACGTTTTAATATAAAAACTGCATAAATATAAAAAAAAAACTGTTAAGTAAAAAAAGCGATTATGTACCTCGTATAAACTTTGAAAAGGATATTATTCCGTTGTTAAAGGTTGAGGAACATATATTTATTGAAAAAGATAAAAAAGTTATTGTGTTTTTTATACTAGACGCACATTTTTTTTTTACTCGAATAAAAGTGTTGTACATTTCAAATTGTCCGTATATTGAGTTAGTTTCAAATTTTTTTCCAGAAAATTCCCCTTTTTGATATCTTGTACTTTTTGGAAGGCAACTTCAGACCCTTCTCGATTGGTTTTTATCCACCCCTAATATCCGTGAGTCTATACATAATTGATGGGACATGTATTTTATATCTCATGAGAGATATACACAAAAAGCATTTACCGTTGAATATCACTTTGAATAAATTCCACCTTAGTTTACAATTTTCGTATATAGATAGATAAACAGATAAATAAACATATAAAGTAAATAGAATAAAATGTTATTGGTTTAATTTCACTGTCGCAATAGATTTACGAATACAAATATATATTTAGAAATATTTTTCAAATTTTTTTACACATACAAAGAAAGAAAAAATATATTAAATAAAATGAAAATATAGAAAAACGTTACAAGGTTCACATCAATTATTCAATTATCAATATTTAAAACCTTCGGGTTACAATAAAATGCAGAATATTTCATTGTTCTGTGAGAGCGATATATTTTTGAAATTCGATGCAAAATATGCAATTGATGTAAAATCAACATTCAAATCTATTGACAATTTAAAAAGCATCATATTTTTTCTGATCGTAACAAAAGAATTACTTTCATAATTAGCCTTTTTTATCGAATTTGATAAATGTGGAAAATTATTAAAATCAGAAATATTCTTTTGAAAAAGTGTCAATATAATTGAATCGTAAAATTACATTATCAACGCGCTCGCGTTCTACATTTTAAATTTATTTTAAGAAGTCAACAATAAATTTTTTCACATCAATGGAAACGTCAACATCTTTCTGTCCATAAATTTCAAGAAAGAACGAAGAAATCTTCGTTTTTACGATAAACTGTTACTTTTCATGCAATCACATAGTCACGAAGGTACATATATCAGAATATCAAGAGTAAAGCGACAAAGCGCATTGCCTGGACTTAATTACTAAAAAATAAAATTACAATTTTATATAAAAAAAAATTAAAGAAAATAATAATTAGTCAAATATTACTGAAATTTTTCGCGAATTTCGTGATCAAATTTCACGAATACCGCGACCTAGATTTTCGAATTCCGTGACCTAATTTCACGAATTCCGTGATCTTATTTTGGCGAATTTCGTGATCTAATTTCGAGAAAACTGTGACCTAGTTTCGCGAATACCGCGACTTAAATTCGCGAAAACCGTGATTTAATTTCGCGAATTTCGTGATCTTATTTCGCGAAAACCGCGACCTAGATTCAAGTATTAAAAGAATTGAGCCAATGAGGGTAGAATAAAAATATAAAAATTAATAAAATTTTTAATAATTATAGTAAAAAATTTACCTTCTACAATGTGTTGGGGCAACAGGCCAACTTCTTCGGGTTCTCAGATAAATTACAGGTGGTTTTGCGTTTCCCACGACCGGCGCTGATGTTCTTCCTTGATTACGTTTTCCCCATAGATGTCCTCCAGTAACTGAAATTGCAGGATGTGGTCCACTTTCACTACACGCCCTCCGCGAAAACATTTCGCGTTTTTTTTCATCGGACTTCATCATTCTTGATGTTATTTGACAAGTTTTGTTTTTTCAAATTCCAAATTTGTTTTTTATTCAATTTGTTATTATTATTATTATTATCCTTAATTTTCTTTACTTTCGTATATAAACAGATTATGAATTAATCTTATACAGTAGAGTCGTTTTTTTGAAAAATTTTTCATAGGGTAAAAAAATAATTATTCTATGTTTCCTAAGAGCTGGAATCTCATGGAAATAACTTTAAGTAATCAGTCCTCGGAGATGAGATGATTTCAGAAGAAGTTGAGTAACTCATTTGTAGATAATGATGTTATGATAGTTTGCAAAAAGTGGAGATTCTTTAATTCAAATATTTAGAATATGACAAAATTTTCTTAACTGCAAATAAAGATTCTTGATGCTAAAATTCTTAAATACATCAGTCTTTTCTGTCGTAAGGATGTAATTTATTAACTTCTTTAATGTGGCGTGTTTCTTTGCTTGGAAATTTTTTTCGTTACCTGAAAATGAATAATAATTATTGTAACAAGTTCTTTTCATTTCTTTAAAATAAATTTTTTTTCTGTTTCGCAGCATCATTAAAAATAATCCATTTTCAATATTATTAATATTCAAATTTTGAGTGTTTTAATTGAAATTATACTTTTTTTTGCACCAATTTAAAAGAGATTGAAAAGAATTTTTTTCATACATAATACGAATAACATAATCTAATTAATGCAGTATGTTAAATAATATTCAACTTTTTTAAAATACAATAAAAGACGAATGCATAACAAATGAAAGAACGAATCTTGATGTATAGCATAACTTTACATATTATTGTTTCCATTCATAAAGTTATACGTAATTAAAGTTTTATTCGTATTCTCAACAGCTGTACTTTTCTATTATGTTCCTATACAAATTTATATAAATTTCCGGATTAATAATATTATGATAAAATTAACGAACCAGAATTCATTATAACGTTAAAAAAAATATTTCTTTTTTTTTTGTATTCGCTTTATTAAAATTTTATTTTCCTATTATGTTGTTTTACTTTTAAGTATTAAATTATTCCATAATTAAATTTTACTATGTTCGCATGTAGTATAAATTTTAATTATTATTTTATAAATTTATTTAGCTATAAATTATTTATTCAAACTTCAACATAAATGAAAACAATGGTTAGATATCACAATTGATTGGTGCGTAATTTTATGGTAATTTTATTTAGAGGATAATCGTCCCAGCTTAAGTGTCAGATTGCGAAACTGTATTTACGATTACAATTAGTAAAGTTGTAACGCTAATTACTGGAAACGCGGTAGCGAAAGCTTCAGAAGCAGAAACCCCGTCACTTTAATAAATAATACAATTAAAAAGACTGTTTAATTTAAGTTTGAAATCTCGCGTTTGAGTGAGACGATAGAGAAATGAACAGGAAAATGATCATCCTCGTCTACTACCTACTCAAACTTCTCATATTAGAATATTGCTCTCACGAGTAATTACAGTTGAACAAATTTAATTTAAAAATAAATTTCAAATAATCTTATAAGCTTATTTTCAAATGTAAACATTTGCATTGTAAAAGAAACATTATATGTTTTTAAAACTTTTTTCCTCTTTATAAAATTTATTTTTTACAAAAAGAAATATTGATTATTTTTAAATTTATAAAATTATGAAAAATGAGACAGGTTTTAAAAGTTTATTTCTAAATTTTATGAGTTGTAAATTAATAAAGAACATAAATTATAAAGATATGAAGAATTCATGATAGACCCTTTACACCCGCAACGGCTTATGTCTCGGACGTAAACTGTATTTTCCATATAGGATCAAACCGGGAGCAAATATTCTACATTACTTCAAAGATAGTATGAAACACTGGTTCACAGACAAAAGCTATAAAAGAAACTTTTCACCGCAGGGAGCTTTAAAGATCATCCAGCATCTTAGATTCAGTAAATATAACACAAAACAAACTTCAAAAGAGAAGACATGAAATTGTACTCGAAATCTATCTATATTTCTTGGCATCACAACTTTTGTGCGCTGAAGATAAATATCACATAACTTTCAATGTATGCTTACATTTTTATATATACCCACGAAAAAATTTTATTCAAAAAGATTTTTTTTCAACTGTTTTTAGTTTTTGCATAGAAACTGTGACTTTTACTGACAATTAAATTATGCAAAAATTTTCAAAGTCTAACTAAAACTCAATTATTCAAATTTTATGAAAAATTACAAGAATTTTAAATATTCTGTCTAAAACTCACTTTTAGTAATGATACACAAACTACTGATATTAATGTAAACGAGTTGACTTCGGTCTGACTGAAAATGACGTTTACTCCTGATACTTGTGTCTGACCAAAACTCTCTTTCACTACTAAGAATTTAAAATGATTCTGCCTTTTTACATTATAAATTATAAGTATTCAAATTTAGAAACTTTTATTCCCAATTCCTGTAAATTTATTTTCCAATTTTTTCTCTCTTGGAAAATAAATTTACAGAAACTGAATAAAAGTTTCTACAAGCAAAGTTTTCAAAGTTATTTTAAATTTTAATTTGCATTTATATTTTTATAAAATGAACTTGCTTTATCTGAGGTATGAAATATATTTCATTTGAAATATATTTTCATTTATAAAAGAAGAGACTTTTAATAATGATTCAATGTAACAGCAATCCTTCATAAATACCTATTTAAAATGTTTGCATCAGTTTCATTAAAAAAAGTGAAATATTTTTTTAGAATTAAGATAAAAATCCCTAATGCATAGGAATAAAATAATAATTTGTTTCATGGGGGATTTTTGTTACGAAACGTTTCAATTGAAAGGAGTAAATTCTCAAAGCACACCATTAACAACGTAAAATATGTATTCAAAAATAGAATTTTTCAAGCTTTATTTACTCGCGATGTGTATTTTTTCAACCACAATCTACTTTATATTCATCCCACCCAATTTTTTTAATAAGAATAAAAACACTGTTATTACAAGTAAGTATTTTTACTTCAAAATAAAAGTAATGAATAAAATAAAATAAAGTTGAATTTAGCCTCAAAAATTAATTAAAATCAATACTTTTTTTCAGTGTGAATAATAATCATTAAATATAATCCTAAATCTATAAAGAAAATAATGAAAAATTTAATGTGAAGAGACTATAACTTTTCCTTGCCGTCTGAACGTTATTTGTCATCCCAAGCTAAATAATAAATATATAAATATAAACTTGAGAACGTGCTATAAGAAGAATATGAAAATATATACTTTTAAATTACAACAAGCAGAAAAGTTGTTTCACAAAACTTTTCAAAAAGAAGAATAATTTAACAATATTACAATTTACAAAGTATACTCAGTGACATTTTATTGACTCGAAAATAATTTAACAACTCTTGAAACAATTAAATGAGACTACATTGTTTGAAGTTGAAATTCATTAAAAATACTGTTTTTAAAACAAGCCATTGTAACTACCATTGATTGCTACTAACCATCGACTGAAATTATTCATAACAGAAATTACCACTAATTAATACCACTAGAAAATAAATAACCTTCATAAAAAAAAATTGTGTTGAACAAGTTTTTAACAATAATTATAAGAAAAAAAGACCATCGACAATAATAAAAGAGTGATTTAAATTTTAATGTACACTATTTGACATTAATGATTTCTTAGTGAAATGCTAACAAGTGCATAAAGTGGAAAAGTCATTTACATGAGAATTCTCCCGTACAGTATTGACATTCTGATAAGACTAACTAAGCCCGGCTATGATAATTTTGTTCTCTCGTGAATGCCATTCATGATTTCTGTGATGTTGCCAACACTTGGTATTCCTGCCTCGAAAAGACAGAAGTCAGTTTAGTAATTGGCTTTCGTAACTCGATTTATATCACGGCAACCACGCAAAATTCTGTTTGCGTGTCCATATCATCCTAATACATCCACGATATAGTAAAGTGATTGAATTCAATTAAATTTAATCTCGCGCACATATATATATGTATGTAATTTTAATATAAAATCTGATTGAAATTTAACAATGTTGTAACTGAGCAATTTATGGCTATTAAGGAAATAGGTTACTTGACCTACATTTAAGGTCTCTCCATATTCTATAACTATATTTATATATATATATATATGCCAGCATTTTACGTACAATCATAAAATTTTACACTTTTAATATAATTCATCACTTTCTAAATATGAATTAATTAAAATTAACTTTAAATTAATTTCATAGCAAAAATCCAGTAATATTTCAAAATCCAGTAAATTAAAAATTATTTTAATACCAAAATGGATTAAAATAAACAGCAAGTCATCCAAGATTAAAATAATCGATCCAATGATTAAAATACCCAATTTTCAAAAAATGAATTATTTTAATCATTTATGGTTCTAATTCAATCTCTTTTTAATATCCCATATTAAATACTCATCAAATATTAATAATATCACCTCATGTGTAAAATGATATTTATCTACACTAATCATTCAGTTAAAAATAACATAAAATTGTTTTTTATTTTACAAAAAAATTAGTGGCATACTTTTCCGAAATTTAGATTTAGTGAAATTATTTGTCTTACTTTAGAAAGAGAAATATATAGATTTATCATTATTTTTTTTATGATTGATATACAATATGCGACTGTACAACACCATTTATCAAAACGGATATTTTTTCGACAGGAATAAAAACCTAAAAAGTAGGTAACGAACCATATCAAGGGTGTGTGAGTGTTTTCAAATGTCTTTATTCGTTTTTCACTCCAATTTTTTTACACCATTTGTAATACTCATCGTCTTTTATACAAATATAGTGCCAATGTGTGCGAGTGAGAGAGAGAGATAGCGATATAGAGGAAACGAGTGTGCGTAAAGCAGAAAGTAGAATATCGATGAAATCAAGATATAACCACGTATTGAAAATGCCAACGGATATTGAAACTATAAAATGGGGGTCATGAGAGAACTAATAACTTTACAATTTTCCTTTACGAATTATGAAGCCACAAAACAGGAAATGCATTTAATTTTGAAAAAAAAACTCTCGTGTTTATATTCTGTAATTTCTACTTGAAGGCAATTGCAATTCAAAAATTTCCGAGAGGCAGATTATATTTAAAAATAAAATTTTTTAAATCATGCAAATAAAAATTCGCAAATTATTAATAGGAAAAAATTTTAATTATGCTAATTAAATTTTTTTTGATAATTTGACATAATTCGAATATTTATTTATATCTAGATACTTTCATAACCCGAATAATGTCACTTGGGATTGCACGTGTTAAAATGTAGAATCATTAGTCTTGTCATCAAGCCCTATCCACTTATTCTCCTTCGGGATTCATTTAAGCAAACTGCAGTCGTTTTGTACAAACGTCCCTACCAAGGGTAATTAAAAGTATAATAATTTATTACAACAAAACTATATAAGAATAAAACATACACTCGAGTTCCTTCTACTTTTGCATTTTTTCATCCATTTAAAAACTTGTATTTTTTTTTAATTTTTATAATTGACTGAAATAAAATTTTTTCGAGAATTCGCAGTTATTACTAATTATAAATTAATTGAGTGGATAATAAAAAATATTCAAATATTAATATTTTATGATAAATTCGAGATACTTATGAGTGAATTAAAATTGTATATAAAAAATTAATTAAAATCAGTCAGGAATTTCTGAGAAATGTTCAAAGAACATTTTTATTGAAAATGTCATGAGCCACGAAGAGGAAAAGAGGAATTTCCATACTTCAAACGTTTCTTTTCTGTATATGAGAGTTTCTTACAGAAAAGCTCTTGCCGTGGAACAAAATCCACTATTGTATGAATGATACATTTATATGGATATATAAAACACGCCTTTGTTGAATAGACGGTCTCAGATTGAATTCATATATATTAAGACTCTATCAAAATTAATTATAAAAATTTTAATCTTTCTTTTATCATTTCAAACCATATAACAAAAAAGAAAATATTCTGAAATTATAATCGATTAAAATCACCATTGTTTGTAACTCAAAAATATGTCGTGTTTTAATTAATTCTGTTTTGTTAGTACGTAACTAAAATTTAAAAATATTTAAATATAAATTAATTTAATTGAAACAAAAAAAATTTGTCATACAAAAATCGAAGGATTTGAATAATGAGTTTCTAATAGAAATTTTTTGATTTTTTTTGAAAGAGAATTAATTTAAAGACTTGACGGATGTTATATCACCAGGAAAGTTAATTAATGCTTCCGTCATGTCATGGCAACAGGACTCTGGAGAGTGAAACGAGGAGGATAATATATACTTCCTGCATAAAAGGACCTCTTTGACCCGTTTAAACCTTAATCCTTCCATTTTCTCAACAACTTTCATTTTTTCAAATCACAATAACTTCTATCAAATTTATCTGTTTTTTTCAAATATAAATAAATAAAAAAATTAATATCACCAGAGATTTTATATTGTTAAGCAATAAAGAAAGTTGACATTTTTTTTTTAACAAAACATATAATCCCATACTGAAAAATTGTTTCTCCACAAATGTTTCCCTCTAACTTTATATAAATCCCATTAAGTATATTGAGTATAAATATTGTCATATGGAATAAAAATATACTCTACTTTATCTCTCTGTATCCTTTTTTTTAAATAAAGAAATCAATAAATTGAATCAGAATTTTAGAGAATTAATTTCCAAAGTTAATGGATTAATTCTAGATACAATCCAATGTGTATTCCCTTATCCTGTGTCATTGTAATTAGCTTCATTACTCGAAAGCTGTAACATAACTCTTAGAATATATCCACACAATGACAAAAGTACTAAATACAGTTTAGGAAAAAAACATGACATATTATTATTAATTAAAAGTGCAGTGAATAATTAAAATTTTACAACGTGTCAAAGTACTTTATACTTTCAGGCTTTTAGCCTCGAGCAAATTTTAATTATGTATAACGAAACAAAACAATTGTGCGAAAATTTGAATTATACAATAATTATAAACACAAATTACCATCTATTTATATTTTTTTAAATTTTGTGATTTGTTTAATTTTTTTAAATGAAGCAAAATTTTTAATTAAAATTTTGAAAGACAAATTAAATAATTTTTTAAAAATATATTAGTTTCAAACAATGGTGATTTTTACGAATAGTCTACTCATCAATTTGATGAGAATGTAAAATAAATATTATTTCAAGAAAAGTTAGAAAAAAAATATTGCATAAAGAAAATTCAGAAAAATGATACTTTCAATTGATTTTCTGAAAATAAAATTTCTTTATTTATTTTATCAAGTTTTTTTTATGTGGAATATTATTTCTGATATGACGAACTTTATACTCTCGATATAACGTTTGGTGACCGCAAGACAAGAGAGGCACCACATAATAATAGGCACTAAAACACTGAACAGTCGATAGTTTGAATCGTGGCTTTTCAAACACGCTATCATCACTGTGTTAAAACTTCCAAAGAACTTTGAGTTCATAGGTATAACTACATCCTGAGAAATTATAAGAGATATCAGTATAATTGAGATTACTTTAAGGAAAGTTGCAATTCGGAGACTCAGACCGGCGAAACACGTACAATACCAGAATACACGTGACCTTTTATCGCGAAAATTCTACTCTATGCAACAGCAAAAACTCAATTTTCTCATATGGATTTCAAGAGTATTTTTAAAAGGAAAAAAAATTTTTTTTAATCAAAATACGATTTAAACTATTTTTTTATACAAAAAAAAAATTCTACAAAAAATTATTAAAATTAATATAATTACAAAAACTTATAACATTTTCAATTTAAAAAAAAAGTCTACCAATGTATAATAAAGAAAATTACTAGTTACGTTTCAATTATAATAATGGGAAAAGGGCTTAAAAGAAAATTAAACGGTAAAATCGATTTGGTGCTCACTTCATGAAGCTTTTGATTCGCCTTAGAATTGGTAAAGTGAAAATATTCATTGATTTATTGGAATTCAGTAAAAAAAAATTTTTTACTTGATAATTAAGGAATATTTATTTACATTGAAAATTTAAATAAATAAAATTTCAGTCAATAACTAGAAATTTTTTTTTAATATTTTTTTTATTTATAAAATTTTAATTTGATTTGGTATCAAAAAGGAAAAATCATTTGACAGGAGAATATATACTCACAAATGAGAAAACAAAAATTCTATTTTTTAAAAACTTATATGAAAACGAGTGGAAAACTTTGCAGGACTGATTTCACA